CTACACACACACACACACACACACACACACACACACACACACACACACACACACACACACACACACACACACACACACACACACACACACACACACACCCCCCCCCAGCGCGCGCATGATTTCAAAGTAATGTCAAATTTTAGATAGGCTAGAAGAAGCATTAAGAATGGCGAATAAAGCTTTGAAATTTATCCCAAATCATGCTCCTATCTATTGTAACATTGCTAATATCTTGGGACAAAAAGGAAAATACGAGGAAGCAGAAGTCCAATTCAAGCTGGCAATATCGAAAAATCCTATGGACCCTATTATTTATGCAAATTTAGGTATGAAAAAAATATAATTTTTTGGAAATAATTTAAGGCAATGTATGAAATAATTTAAGACATGTAAGAACTCTACGATATTTTTTATTCAGGTGTTCTGTATCATCGTTGGAATAAATTAAATGCAGCAGAGCAAATGTATAAAAGAGCATTACAATTAAAACCAGATTTAAAAAGTGCGAAAGACAATATGAAAAGTTTATACACGTTGGGGACAATAAAGTAATTTTTTACCTCGACATTGCGTGTTACAATTTTCCAAATATTTTTTAAATAACATTACAAATAACTAATAAATAGAAGAGAGACGACTAGATATTGCTGCATTTTCTTACAGACAATAATTCTGGCATACAAGGATAATTATACGCTTTAAAGTTTCCTACTTTTTTACTGTCAACATAATTATAAGATTTGAAACATTTATTACAGAAATAACTTATATCATGTGGAATTCTGTCATGTTCTGTTATAATCCAATGTACATTGAGTATTCCACACATAATGCAATTTTTCCCAAAGAGAGGTCTTATTCTTTCTATTTTTGGATAAGCAGACAACGTCAAAATATCATCCACAGTCACTAACCTAACACAAAGAAAGGATGCAATTAAAATATAGGTAATTAAAATACAGCGTGTCTTAAAAATAGCGCTACCATTTTGTTTAGCCGCCATTTTTGTTGGTTACGTTTGTTTTAGTTGCTATTTGACAGTCGTATAGTGTGGACGCTAACAATTTTATCATGAATAATTTGACGCCTGAATAACGTGTTTTAGTTATTAAAACATTTTATCAAAATGGATCGTAACATTGATTATAACATGGATTATAACATTGATTGGCCTCTCCGTTCTCCCGATTTAACCGCCCAGATTTTTTTCTTTGGGGATATTTAAAGGGAAAGGTCTACGCAAACAAACCACGCACACTTCAACAACTCAAGAACAATATTCGAGGAGAAATTGTTCAAATAACTCTAGAAATGTGTCAAAATGTTATGCAAAATGTGGTTGAGAGAGCACGCATATGTAATGCAGCCAGAGGCGGACATTTGGCAGATATCATATTCCATACTTAATGCTAAAGAATAAACTACTAAAATATACAAAAAAAAAATGTTTTATTTAAAAATTATAAAGGTTTAAAATGGTAGCGCTACTTTTAAGACACCCTGTATATTATACTGGTCTGCAAAATTACTTTTTTATGTATTAAATCCAAATTTTACCTCAAAAAGTGCATGTTACATCAAGATTTTATTTTAAAAAACCAAAATATACAAAAATAAGGATTTTAGCCATATTAATGATACTACTAAAAAAAAATTAATTTTTTTCATCAATAATAATTGCATCATCTTAAAGTACTTATTCCATTTAAAATTAATAAATAGAAGATATACAGAAGAAGTGTGATTTATACCATTTCTATGTGATACATTCTCGATTAATTAGAATTAATATCACTCATACGACTAAACGATTTATCTTTACGATGAATAAGCGGTTTGAAATTTAATACAGAAAAAGCATAAAATAACAAATACATGTTGGGGATAAAGTAGGACATCGTTTTTTATAAAAAGACTAGTTTTAAAAATCGTAAGAAAATAAAATTTATTTTAAAGAGAAAAATTAATATTTTAAAATGTGAACGAATTTTTTGTCAATATAATTTTGTAAATATGGTAAAATTGCAATGTTTTCCTTAATTTTTAAAAATTTTGATGTAATACACATTTTTTTAGGATACATTTGAATTCAGCATACAAAACAATCGCGGAAAATTATGTTTTTCTAAATATAATTTTATCAAGGATGCAAACATTATAGATATATAAAATTTGTTTGATTTTAAATTATACTTTTTTCTGTTCTTTGACAGCATTAGAAGATTACTGCCAAAACTTGAGCAAAATTAAATGTTAATAAAAATTAAGAAAAATTACCTGGCATCTGACAGTACGATTAAGTGTTCACAACAACCTTGATGCTGATACACCCATGGAAAACCAAATCTTGCGCAAAGAGAATTTATCTTAACATCCATTGATGCAACTTTAAATGGGCCTATACCGCGAATTGCTGCCCATTCTAATATGACACTGCTGTAATCAATGTTGGCTGACGCACTAGTGTCATTATAAAAAGTATCTTCTATATAAAAAAATCCCGATTTATAGATATGCTAGAATAATAAATTAAGATATAATTATTTTTTATTACAAAACACAAATAAAATATGCGAAAAACATGCATAAAAACATAACAAAGAAATAATTACTTTTGCTGTTGGTCCAGGCTTTTGATTTGGATTTTCACTAATTTCTGTTGCAATTGATAGATCAGATTGACATACTATCTTTCGACGTAATTCATAAAGAGTTTGACATCCCGGTATGGATATGACATTTTTAAGTTTAAGAACTGGTGGTGTGTTAAATGGTTTATATCCCATAGAACGAGGCTGGCTTTGAAATGGCTCATAGATTCTGACATAAACTAAAAATTCTTCATGTGGTGTCATAGAATCTAGTTTGGTATCACAGATCAATTTTGAGTCATCATTCTAAAAAAAATTAAATTACAATTTTAGTATTACGTTTTACTGATGAGAGAAATAGATTCTTAAGAATCATATATATTAAACAACTAATAGAGCAATCATACATTATTAATCAAACAATAATTTCAATAATTTAACTCAATTTGCACATATCACTTTTACTATTATAATGAATTTATAAATAAATATACATAATTACTTTAAAATTAATTGGAATTCCATTTTGAAACTTTGGCTTCAGTGAGACTTCCTCAGACAGTATCTTTAATACTTTAATTGTTTCTAATGAAGTATTATTTAAAATATTTGCAGGCATATTAACCCACCCCTGTTTTTCTCGTTCTTCTGTATTGGCTGCTTCAGTTGGTAATGTTAAATTATCAATACTATAAAATTAACAATGATTTAATACAATAGTATCTCCCTTATATATTAAATTTTGTATGCATTACAAAAGATACCTGCAATAATGTGTCATTAAAAGTGTCCTCGTTTGAGAAAGATCTGTGCCCATAAGTTGGAAAACTTTTTCTTCACTTTGCTCGTCTATTTTATGACACATATAGGATTTTAGTAATTCACTGTATTGCTGAAAGTAATCCTTCAGATAAATCTTTGGTAATGTTTGACGGTCATAAAGCCGGTATACTTGATCCATTGTTAACTTTACAAACAATTATCTGAAATCGAGAAGTAAAATTATTGATATTATTTTTACAGATTTTAATATTCTATTTCGATTTATACTTATCATAACCTCTGGACAGAAAATAAAAGTCTACACTTGATGCGACAACTACAATCAGGAAGCATAAATAAATATTTCAAAACATTTCGATTTCACTTTTATTATTTGGAAACATCATCTCAATTTTTCCCAATTCTGGTCAATTCTGGCATCACTAGTGCAGAGTCAGAGCAGGTTAGGTCAGTTTTTGGCACTGTAAGCCTGTGCTGCGAACAGTGTAAAACAATGTTAACATTGACATTTTTAAAAATTTGTTAAATGTGAAAGATTCAATATAATATTATATGTAAACAACAAGTTACACATATGATAGAATAAGGTAATAAATAAAAATATAACTTTGGAGGTAATTATTCAGTATCGCTACTTCACCTCCAATTTTTATAAATTTATGCTCATTCGACGCGTTTTTGCATGAAACGAAAGAATCTGACAGAAAAAAAGTATTGCTCTGCCTCGCGAAGCGAAATATTAATAGTTAAAGTTGACCATTTTTCAGGTTAAAAAAGCTGTCATGTACACCTGAGGTCTGTTCTTTATAGCTGAACTGGCTGCGTTAGTTCAGAGTTTATCTTTTTCCCTCCACATTGGAAGGAGAAAGATAAACTCTGAACTAGTGCAGCCAGTTCAGCTATAAAAGTTGCACGGGTGTCAAAGCATATCGAGTCGGCGTGTTCCGACTCTATCTATTTTTACATCATGACTGGTTATGAACATAGCGGCAATGCTGTTTTGGTTGTTCAAAGCAAGTGGAGCAATTGATAAGTAAAGGTTAATATTTATTAATATTTAATATTTATATCAATATTTATTAATGGTTTAATATTTATATTTATATCAATATTTATTGTTGGCGGAAAACGAGCAATATATATACTAAATGATAAAGAAAAGTGTAATTATTTATCAAAATAATAGGAACTTATATAAAGCAATTAACAGATTTGAAAGTATTAGCATGTAATTGTGGTATAGTCAAGAAATTTGCTGAAAATTTTGAAACTTCTCATGTAAGTAAAAATATTCGTTTAAATAAGTTACAGATAATATTATTGAATCAAAATATTACTTATTTTTTTCTTATTATCATGCTAATACTTTCAAATTTGTTAATTGTTCTTTATATAAGTTCCTATTATTTTGATAAATAATTACACTTTTCTTCATCATTTAGTATATATATTAACTAGTTTTCCACTATCAATAAATATTGATATAAATATTAAATATTATAAATATTAATCTTTACTTGTCAATTGCTCCAGTTACTTTGAAACAGCCAAAACAGCATTGCCGCTATGTTCATAATCAGTCATGATGTAAAATATGTAGAGTCGGAACACGCCGACTTGATATGCTTTGACACCCGTGCAAGTTCATGTGTTAAGGCAGGGCTCGGAATTATTTCATCTTTTCGGCCGATTCTTATGGTATACGCCTCCTTTCCTCTCCTTATCGCGCGCGCGGTAAAGCGGAAGTAAGGCCGTATACCGAGTCGTAAGGGAAAGTTCCGGGGCCCCGGGAAAAAACGGTAATTTAAAAAAACCGTTAAAAAGTTTTTTAAACCCCCGGGTAAAGGGGTTTACCCGGGTTTTTACGGGTTTAACCGGGTTAACCCCCCCCGTTTTTTTAGGGGGTACCCCCCGTTAAAAAACGGGGGGTAACCCTTTTAAAAAAAAAACCCGGTTTTAAAAAAAAAAAAAAACCCCTTAAAAAGGGGGGGGGGGGGGGGTTAAAAAAACTTTTTAAAACGGGGGGTTTAGTTAAAGTTTAAAGTTTAAGTTTAACTTTTAAGTTTTAACGTTTTTAACGTTTTTAAGTTTTTAACGTTTTTAACGTTTTAAAAACGTTTTAAACGTTTAACGTTTAACGTTTAACGTTTAACGTTACGTTACGTTACGTTACGTTACGTTACGTTAACGTTAACGTTTAAACGTTTAAAATTTTAAACGTTTAAACGTTTAACGTTAACGTTACGTACGTACGTACGTCGTACGTCGTACGTCGTCGTCGCGTACGTCGTCGTACGTACGTACGTACGTACGGTACGTACGTACGGTACGTCGTACGTACGTACGTACGTACGTACGTACGTAACGTTACGTTAACGTTAACGTTTAACGTTTAACGTTTAAACGTTTTAAACGTTTTAAACGTTTTTTAAAACCGTTTTTAAAACGTTTTTTAAAAACGTTTTTTAAAAAACGTTTTTTAAAAAACGTTTTTTTTAAAAAACGTTTTTTTTAAAAAAACGTTTTTTTTAAAAAAACGTTTTTTTTTAAAAAAACGTTTTTTTAAAAAACGTTTTTTTTAAAAAACGTTTTTTTTAAAAAACGTTTTTTTAAAACGTTTTTTAAAAACGTTTTTTAAAGTTTTTAAACGTTTTAAACGTTTAAACGTTTAAACGTTTAACGTTAACGTTAACGTTAACGTTAACGTTAACGTTAACGTTAACGTAACGTAACGTAAGTAGTAACGTAAGTAATATATAGTATATATATATATATATAATATAATATTTTTTCAAAATTTGTTATGTGAAAATATTTCAATAGATTTCCACGTTACCCATGAGGTACTATTGCTATTGAGAAAAAAATATTTTTAATAAATTTTTTAACATTAATCGGATAGCGCCGCTCCTAACGCTCGGCGGCGCTGGCCCTAGCGGCTGCCGCGCGCGCGGTAAAGAGAGGAAAGAAAGCGTATACCATGAGAATCGGCCGAAAAGATAAAATAATTCCGAGCCCTGTGTTAAGGCATTAGTGTGACCAGGTGTACTTAAAACACATGCTTAAAAATGTATGTGTGGACCCAGTGGGTTCCGCCCCTCCTACGGAGGAACTCCGTCATCTATAAACCATACACATAGGTGTGGGTTGGAATCTCACTTCGCGTGGAAAGTTGTAAACTTAACCGACACTAAAGCGACACTTTTTTCTGTTAAATTCTTTCGTTTTGGACAAAAACACGTTGAATGAGTATAAATTTATAAAAATTGGAGGTGAGGTAGCGATACTAAATAATTACTGTTTTTTATTCCTAAAGGAGGATTTAAAAAGTAAAAATTGCCGCTTGTAAAATTATTAATCTGAAAAGATTATTAATCGAATTGAACGAAATTAAACATATTTTGAGGTTAGGAAATCAAACTGAAGCTAGGGTGCGTTCCGTTTTATGCATAATGCGCATAAAAATGCTGAAAATTTATAGTGTATGTACGTGACATAAACTATAAATTTTCAGTACTTTTATGCGCATTATAAGATCTATTGTTTATAGCTGAACTGGCTGCACTAGTTCAGTGTTTATCTTTTTCCCTTTACATTGGAAGGATAAAGATAAACTCTGAACTAGTGCAGCCAGTTTAGCTATAAAGAACAGACCTATAAGTTTGTTCTTTATTGCTGAACTTTCTGTACTAGTGTACACTAGTGACACCGAAGTGTTCTCTATTGCAGTGCAACGTGGCACCAATCCGTTCTTCATTGCAGTGCAACAGAACTCAGTACAACAGTTCACGGTACTCGTTGCACTGGGTCTTGAGCAAGAACAAGCAGTGCAGGGCAGTGCGAGAATTGGGTAAGTTGATAATGGTGGGAAATTTAAAAAGTACACACAACCTATTATAAATATTAAAGTAACCTATTTAATATTAAAGTAATTAATAATTCTCTTAAAATTAAATTATAAGCACTGAAATTGTACTAATAACCTGAATTTCAGAAAATCAAGCTGTAATAGTACTAACTTTTATTAAATGTGAACAGTTTTATCTTTCTAGAAAAGCTAAATGTACATAAAAGTTTTTTATGTTGTATTTATGTAATATAAAATTATACTTATCGTTAATAACAATTGTAAATTTACAGAACAGCTGAAAAATATGTATATATATATACAGGGTGATTCGAAATAACCTGATATCCTTGAAATGTCATATTTTTGAGCGAATTCTAAGACTATTTTTCCTTTTGCAAAATTTTGTCCAAAGCTTAGTTTTCGAGTTATAACGAAAAATAGCTACTTACGAGTCCGATACAACGGGCAGGCAGGAACGCGTCATAAGACTAGCGCCCCCTACACGGTTAATGTTATTGTATAATATTTTATATTGCATAATATTATTGATAATTTTGATTTTACATTGAAGTTTAAATTATTCGTGTATTTCCTATACAATATTGTACAATTATTATTGATCGTTTAGAGGGGCTATAACGTAATGCTTCAAAGTGAAATATTCGATAACGCGAGTTTTACATAAGTGACAAATAAACTGAAAATACAAAGCGAAGACGAAGTAGTAATCGCGGTTTGATTAAATATTCTTATCTTGGAGAAAATCGACGCAAAAACGAGATACAAAAATACAATACAAGAAAAGAAATACAAAACGAGTTTGTATTTCTTCGTAACGATTGTCCGTCTTGAAAATAACAGCTTCTCAATTTCACTTGACACTTCACAATTTAATTCAAAACATCACTGTATTTACTGTGTTTAATCACAGTACTTCACTTGTATCACTCGAGTATCACTCGTAAATATCAATTCCCGCACAGATTAAGGGCCACTGCTTTTCTGTAACGCGTTACGTTGAGTTAAGTACTTCAACGCACAGAGAAAGTCATAACGTAGCATAAGCGTATACACGCTACGTTACGATTTTTTCTGTGCGTTGAAATACTTAACGCAACTTAACGCGTTACGGAAAAGCTTGTACGATGGCTTTAAGGCACAAAATCCCATCGATTTACGACCGGTAAAATACGACCGATTTATTATTATTATTTATAAAGGTTATTGTTTGTTTACTTTTTGACCGTCGCATACGTAGTTCTACTGCACACTCACGAGATAGCACTGATGTAAGTATCGGTAAAGTAATTGCATGAAAAGAGCCTCGATGCGGATTCTCAACGTTGATTGATCATAACGTAACCTTATCGATCTCGCTATGGCGTACGTTGCTTTGCGAACGCGCTTAGCGCGAGATACGAGAGTGTCTTATTTTCATTTTTAGGCAATTTAATACCGTAACGAAAAAATGCAGACGGGTATTCTAAACACTCATCTTTCTTAGAATAAACAAATTTCTTTCCACGTTGACTATCTGTCACGTTGGCTATCTTTAAATTAAAATAATATGGTATTTAAATAATATGATATTTATTTCTGCATAGTAAAAGAAATCGTAGTAGCTAAAAAAAGCAGATTGCTATAATTGTATTTATTTAATAATCTTTTTAAATTTTTAAATTCTTTCTCTCTCTTTCTCTCTCTCTCTCTCTCTCTCTCCTCCTC